AGATCCTGCAGGAGCCTACTGTATGTTATTAAAGTTCATTTTACAAAGCAGGAGATAAAAAGTTCTAAAGCAATTTAGGATATGATCATGCAGGCTGTGTCAGTCACAACCAGGGGTCTGTGGCTAGAGATGCGTAAACAAAAACAAAGGTAATATAACACCTATATGGCAGAAATTTGAGCAGTGAGACTACAGGGGCATAATCTATACACCAACACTCCTTTTATAAGCAAAATTTGTTATGATGCCTATAGTGTGCCTTTAAAATATCACAACAATAATATTCAATAAATGTGTTTAAACATGTGTTGATGTACAAGTATACTATTACTAAAAAAGAGAACATGTTTAATCATAGATATCTTGTTTAATTGCTTAAATATTATTAGTAAATCACACCATGAGGGGAAAAAAACATACCCATATTTAATAAACAGTTAGCTACTAAAGAGAGATTTGTAGTTGAAAGTTTCAACTAATTAAAACCAGATATGTAACACAAAGGACTCATACATTTGGTATTAGAAGAAAATAGATTTAAAAAAAATAGATAACTGCTACAGCAACACACAATTCATCTAAGGAAATTCAGCATTCATCAAAAATATTTGAAATGAGAACTGGATTCTGGTCATCCTAACCAGCAGGTTTCTTCTTTTGCTGATAAACTAACACTAAACAGGATACTTGTTTAGTTATACCTGCCATTCATTTGACGTTTTAATAGAACCCCTACGACCCAGCTGGGAAACCACATGTCCATAGTCCAGCACCTCTATGCAGTGAGACAAGGGTGGAAACCAATCAATAATGGAGCAACATGTATATATATTCATATGCCACGCTGCCTTTCCAGAGTAGCAGATTGATATACCCAATATCTCTAGTACTAAATAGTGCCATGACGGAGGGGGGGGGGGGGCTTGACCGCCATGGGGAATAGTCGCTTCCACCTGAAGCTCTGAGCAAGTGGCTGACTTTAAGCTTCATATGTTGCGACACAGCCGAGCTAGCCTGGTGCCTTACTCATCCACCCCACAGTACTCTCAGTGAAAGTGGGGTTGGGGCATCATGGACTCTCCAGGTGCACTCATAGCGGCCAGTCTGTCTTGCAGCCTAGCGGTTGATGTGGAGTGGGTGATGTGGCTGGTCCCCCAGCATCGAAGTTCTGCAGGACATCGCAGATCCTATCTCCCCTTTTGGACCGGTGGTGGTCATCCCAGTGAAACCCTGGTGGATGGGCACAAGTGAGAGAAAGTAAAGCAACTCAACTTACCTAAGATGTCGGCTGCCAGCAATATGACGGCTCCTGCACACTACACTGATCCCACACACCACTGTGACAGGTTGATAGCATGCATTGATCAGCTCTGTGCAGTGTTCTGGTGGCAAATATTAAAGAGGCTGGTAGATGGCATCAGAGTGGAGATAACACCACAGGAGAGAGGTGGGCGCCCCACGACCTGTGGTTATAGCAACAACAGTTCGATCAGGTGGTGACAGCTAGCGTCTCATTTTGGAGGGCATCCAAAGCTCACTCGAGTTCAGAGAGACAGCTGATGGAACGTGGTGACTGTCTCACAGCTTGGCGATACCCTGCCTGGCCCCTTCTCAGCCCTCACCCTGGAGTCACTAATCAAGCCACTAGAGTTGGCTCTAGTCAAAAGCATGAACTGCTCTTGGGATTAATCCTACCCTAAAGAGTAACCCCCCAGGTTTTGCCCAAATAACATGCATTTGTTTTTATTTTACTTTATGTTGCAGTTTTCAATATGCACATGCCTTCCAGTGTTTTAATTTATCACTGATCTCCAGCATCTACACTGGACCTTTATTCTTTCCACTAAGGGCCACTTGTTGTGTAGATGTCCATCATCACAGATGCTGTGTTTTTTTTACTCTAAATATCTCTCTAAATTTGCATATGCTAACCTACTTAGGTTGTTATGATACTCAGTCTAGCTCAGATCTATCATTACAGGTTTAGGCCTTCTGTCAGTTAACATTTTTTCCAGTTTTACATTCCTGCTGGTGCATAACCTGCAGTTTATTTGATGTTGTTTGAGAGATAATTCTTGACCTGTTTGAAATATCTTAAAAAAAGTAAAAGGAGAAAAAAACAAATGGGTCAGCGCTATCGCACAACAAAAGAAAAAAACAAAAACATCACAGTCTGTAATTCAAACACTTCTTCCAAATCACTAATGGCTAATTCTTTCAGCGCGCCTTGGTTCTTTCTGCTCACTCCCATCATTCTTGATGGGAGTGAGCCAAACTAACAAATACGCACCGAATGACTAAGCCAAACGTTCATTCAGTTGTCTCTTTCGGTCTTTTGAATTACAGACAAACGGTGTACTGTCTGTTACTGCATATATTACAAGCTGCCAAACAAGTCATCTGAATGCATGAATGGCTCTAATGTTTAGTGCTCATTAGTTAGTTCTGCTCATTCTCATATATTTATTATTACAGGTATGATGGGAGTGAGTCAAACGACTGTTCGCGCACCAAACAAATAAGCCATTCGTGCACTTGAGTGAAGCGTTGAGCTTTTTTCAATACATTGCTTTAGCATAGGGACATGGGAAGGGAGAGTAAGCCAAATGAACAAATGGGTTCTCCAAAGCGAAAATAATTTTCAAATGTCGTCCAAAAATAAATGAGGCAATGGATGAAATTTGGTTCTGACAAAACAAACTTTTTTTTCATCTGAATACATTCGGACGAAACGAAAATTTCTCCAGTGACTAAGTCTGTTCTCTATTGGTTCAATAGGAATGTGCAAACCTAAAATGAGGCTGTAGTGTAGGTTGGCAGAACAGCGCAGGAATAAGGCTGGTTACACATTTATGATACCATCCCTATCTAAAGCAACATTAAACACTTACTCAGAAGTACTTTCCATTACTTATAAGACTCACTGCTATTATGTTTCACCCATTACATCCCACCATTACAATTAAAATTAAAGAGATCCAACTTTGCAGACAACCAACAAAAATAATGTTCTGCAGCAAAAATAGATTCACGGAAGCCCATTGAAGGCCCTGCGCAGAATGCAATTTGAAGGCATAGTTCCTCAACACGATACCCAGCCATGTACTCAAAGCCATAACTTCCAACCATACATCCACACCCAGTTAGACACCAAAATCCATTTCTTCCAGCCATCCACTCATCCATAAACCCACGCATTCATCTACATGCCTATTGCTCATCTTCACCCATTTTATCCTTTGTTTTCCTGCATCTCCCACTATTGCAGCTTAAGGCCTTCATTTTTTCATACAGGCATGATTCTCTGAAGCAATTCTCAAAATGTTTGCTGACCAAATAACTCATGAGCAAAGTTTGAGCAAAAATGTGAATATAATTTTCAAGGAGTTTGCTATCTGATATAAATCATGAATTAACTACTCAAGGTATTTATTGTATATCATAGACAGATGTGTGAAAATACCTCATGGTATGGAAGACATCCATGAACTTGTGATTGCAGGTGGCTCCCGAGATGTTGGGGATTATCTGGCTCGAGAACCACAGACAACCACACCTATGATGGCGGCCACGCCAGCAGAGTAATGATCATCCTCGGAGTAATGATAATTTCTCCTGCAGCTGAATTACCTTCTGGCGTCAGAGTTGGGGAATTTTCAAAAGGAAGTGCACATACTCTGTGGCAGCAGTGGGGAAGGAGGTTTTAGCTTGTGGCTGAATTGTCAGTTTACATAGGCTGACTTTTTTCATCCATACAGAAGTGTAAGCCAACTTCCATCATTCCAGTGGATGGGCTCTTCAGGGTCTCTAACCTACCTGGAGCGAAGTATAAAGTGGCCTGCATGTGATTGCTCAGCTGTCCCTCATGGGCAACATGTTAGCTGCAATGAAAGTGGTCAAAAGCACATCTTCTTTCACCTTTGAGGACAATACTTTGTCCATCCATCAGGACCTCTCCAGAGGTACACTGAGATGGAGGGTCTCACTGAGCCATGTCAACTGGTTGCTCCAGGACAAGGATATTACTTACGACAGGCTAAACCCTTAGTCCTTTATAGAGGAGTGCAACAGCGTGTTGCTGAAGATGCAGAGGCATCAGCATTCTTTCATCCAGCAGCGGGGAGTGTCTTGAAGATGGGAGTGTGACTGAGATATCTCTTTCCTGGCTGGCACCAGACTTCTGGCTGTGTGGTCTCTTACCTGACATTTGCGGGACACCAGGCCCTAACCTAATGCCACGGGTAGTGGCTTGACTGAGATTTCACTCACTCATGGATATTATTGTAATCAGGGCCGTCTATAATATGGTTAGGACCCTGGGCAATGCATTTTCTTGGGCCCCATGGGCCCTGTCCCTGCCACTGCCTCACCCCTCAATTACGTCCAACCCGCAATCACACTGACAGACGTACTGGCACATACACACACAGACAGACATTAAAACATTCACAGATACATACTGACACACACAGTCACTACACACAAATATATACTGGCAGACATACTGACACACACACACACACAGACATACATACATACACAGACACATACATTAACAGAAATACTGACACACACACAAACACATACACTGACAGATATACTAAAACACACACACATACACTGACAGACACATTGACACACACAGGCATACTGACATAAACACACACACACACACACACAGGCATACTGACATATACACACACACACACACACACACAGGCATACTGACATATACACAGACAGACGTAATGGATGATACAGACAGACATTAAACATTCACAGATATATACTGACACACACATACACTGACATACAAATATATCCTGGCAGACATACTGACACACACACACACACAGACATACATACATACACACACAGACACATACACTGACAGACATACTGATTGACACACACATACACACACAGACATACTTACATACACACACAGACATACTGACACACAAAGACATGCTAACACACACACACAGACATACTGACATACACACAGACAGACATTAAAACATTCACAGATACATACTGACACACACATACACTGACACACAAATATATCCTGGCAGACATACTGACACACACGTACACACACACACAGAGACATACCTACATACACACACACACAGACATACTGGCATACACACAGACATACTGACACACACACACACACACACACACACAGACATACTGGCATACACACAGACATACTGACACACACACACAGACATACTGGCATACACAGACACACACAGACACACACACAGACACACACTGACATACACACATAGACATGCTGGCATACACACACACACACACATACTGGCATACACACACACACACTGACATACACACACACACACACACTGACATACACACACAGACATACTGGCATACACACAGACATACTGACACACACACAGACACACACACACACACACAGACATACTGACACACACACACAGACATCCACACACACACAGACCTACTGACATACATTTAGCCACCCTACAGGTTCTTACCTTTTTCTGGAGGGTGGTTTCCCTGGTCCAGTGGCAGGCTGAGGCAGATGGGAGTTCTCCTCTGGAACTCCCCTCCTCCCTCCTCCCGCGCGGCTATCTCCGGTGGGAGGAAGTGACGTCACTTCCTCCCAGCCGGCTGCAGAACCGGAAGAGGGGCCCGGTCGCGCTGTTTAATCGCCACAGCGCCCGACTGGGCCCCTGCTGACACATGCTCCCCGGGTGGCCCTTAGTGCATGGGCCACCCGGAGAGCCTCCTCAGTGTGTGGGAGCCGCACCGCCCGGTCCACAGGGGCTGCGCAAATCGCGGGGCCCACAGAGCAGCAGCTCTGGGCCCCCAGGAGCAACTGGGCCCGGGGCAGCTGCCCCGTTTGCCCCGCGTTAAAGACGGCCCTGATTGTAATACAATTGGCTGTTATCGGACAATTCCATGGCTTTTGTTTTTTCTTTTAATATCTGTTTGAGCTATATCTCTCCCTCCCACCCCTCACATATAGCTTTGAAATCAGCCTTGATAGTAGCTTTGTTTTTGTTTTATTTTTTTGTTACTTAACTGTAAATTTAGCTTTGACTGCACCTTCACACTTAGCATTACCGTTAGCTCCAAACTTAGCTAAGTTTTCACACCTACAACTGGATTCTTATAAAGCATTATCTTTACAGTTATGCCACAGTTCCCTCTTATAATATTACACATGTTGCTTCATTCTCCAGATCTTCCAACGAGTTGGTTCATATCGAATGCTCTTTCCAGACTCTAGTGTAGGTGAGGCTATTGCTTAATAGTAAATTACACACTTACTGCAAACACATCTGCCACTGTTAATTCATGCACCTGCAATGTGCATTTCTTTTTGTACTCATATCTTGATTTTCCACAATTGTCTTTGCATCTGCATACCAAAAATAAACATTTTTAAAAATCTCCATGATGCCAACTATAGCTACATACACTACCTATCAGGGCGATGGACGCTTACCCAATAATGGCAGGTTCCTGTCCCTTATTTGTACTGCCTTATTGAACTTACCTACTAAGCCATTGGGCTCCAGGTTTATTTCACTGCATGCATACTCATATATATTACATGTCATATATGGGCTATGGCATGGATCATAAACAGTAAAGTTGTAACATCCATGATCTCTGGAATCTTCACTCTGTAGTTTGTAATAAAATAGATATGATTTCCACAATATTCTCCCACATAATGTACTGAGATTCATCAAAACTGCAAGGTGGCATTCTACCTGGTGCTAGATGAGGATTCTAGCAGAACACATTACTCCATCTATAGTTTTGTTCTTGCATGAGAAAGTTGCGCTTAAGTGAGTATAACTATTCCCAGGCACTAGATGACACATAGTGCTGGGTACAAGAACACACTTTATTGCCACCAGCAGCTGTATTTATAGGGACAATAGCAATGGGGGTCACAAACAAGAACAATGGGTTATCGCCCTGGCGCCTCTGGGAAATAATTTAATTAAGTGATGTTACATTTTTTTTACAGACACCAGGACATCCAAATAATAAAACATACAAAAATCATCATTTAAACATAAGTTATATATACATATCATACATCTCTGGAAAGGTTTCGTTACCAGATCGAATGTGCCTAGCCCAAGAAATCAACAAATTAAGCTCGACCAGGCTGAGGCTACATCACGATCAGGTGCGGCAGAAAGACAGCCGCTACAGTCAGTCTTAACTCTGCAATAAAAACATTGTTCTCACTAAAACTGCAATGTTCTACTTTGCAGATCTAAGGGAACAGGGATATTGCACCCACACCACTTCAATGAGATAAACTGATCTGGGTACCTATAGTGTCCCCTTAAAGGCATAAAACTGGCTGCAAGAATATATATGCCATTAGTGGCTTGAGATTAGCATTTGACCCAGTGCCCCTATCAATTAGTGCTTCGAATAATGGTAACCATAAGTGAGTTCTGTATTTCTTTACATTATAACCCCTTTGCATTTTTTCAAAACTTGCTTATTTTTTATTTTTTTTATTTCCATTGCATGTTGTTAACAATTCAAATGAATTACTACAAATATCACTCAAAAGCATACTTGCACACATTTTCAGCTCAATACACATCTAAAGTATTTGCATTATGCAGCACTGGTTGGCTGGCACATCTGCACCTTCACCTGGGCTGATGGGCCCTATTAAGAGCAATACTGGCCTTTTGTCAATGCTGAAATGCAGGCAACATAGTCCACTTTTGCTAGAAACACTCCTTTACTTGTGATTTGTGATGGACCACCTGTGACGGACCACTATGAACTATTACGGAGGGGAAAGGGAATCCCCGGCTGACTAGGAAAAGTCTACCATGTGATATTTATTATTTCTAATGTGGGCACTCTGCATGTTTCAAAGTAAATTTCAATAACTTTTTAAATATGATAGTATGGGACATTTACTACAATGGTTCTGCTAAATATATGTTACATTAATTTGAAAACTGTAAAGTGATATTTGCGTTGCTTTCGAAGCTTCTAATTTCAGAGCTGACCTCCTGTTTAGTGATGCTTGCTGTGTGATGTGCTATGCTACATTTATTCTTGTTGTGTTGGTTCTATGTATGTGAAATTGTCTATAATGTTCCAGCTCTTCTTCAAGTTGTACTTAAAACGATCCTGAAATGTGTCCTGAATTTGTGATGTAGAGTATGTCATGCATCATATCAGTGGTCCTCTTTTGACACAAACTAAGATGAAATAAGAAGACTACATTTGTGCTAGTTCTCCCATTTTGCTCAGGAAATTGCTTTCTCTTCACCTATTATTGTGAGCGTCTCAAAGAAATTTCGGCTCAAAATATCTATTAAAGAATGTGTTACACACTGAAGAGAAGTACATTCTGAGTTGCAATGTATTATTATCTAACTGATTAGCTCAGTCCTCTCAGTGTAAATAGCAAATCCATTCACTACAATACCGGCCAATTATATTCCCTGGATTCATTTTAAAACATTTTGTTTGGGAAATGAACCAGAGAATGAAATAGTTTAATCGTAAAGCATGAAACACCGTAGATGTTCTGTTACCACAAGAAACTGACAGTGGATTATGACATTCTCATTCAAATATGGGGTTAAAAATAATATAAATATTTCTGATTCCACGTATTTTGCAAATTAACAGAAGGATGCATTTTCCACAGTAAAACCTTTTATAAATATAACTGTAATTCTGCTTCAATGTTTATCATCTATCCATCCATCCATGTGCATGCCTATATGCAGAAAATATGAATATTACATTAGTATTTGTCAGAATAGATAATGACTTAAGACATTTGGATGCTAGGTGTCATGGGTGGCGGTCCGGAGACCGGGACCCCGGTATGCCTGATAATGGTAGGAGTCACAGTGTGGAAATGAACAATCAAGGTCTGGTGCATGGTAACCACACGCCCCCTGTTGTTGAGCACAAAGGTTTGTGCGGCCACATACCAGGCCCTGATGCAGCTTCTGCGGATCCCAGGAGCTTGATAATATGTAGATATGTATCCACTGCTAGAAACACGACAAGACCAGAATAGGCACCAAACAAGATAGCAAGGCAAGACTAGAAGAACCCAGAATCAGAGCAGGACAGAAAGCAGAACCCAGAACATGTACACAAGACATGAGGGACACAAGAACAGGACAGGATTGTACACAAACCGGGAATACAAGACAAAATAAAACAAGACAAGAAATACAAGGCAAAACAAGAGGAGAAATAAGTAAGTACTATAGATGTAATAAACATTGTAGATTTAGACATACATAAATGTCCAAGATGTATGCAGCCCACCACTGCACCAAAATACTCCAATTACGGTGGGTCCTAACTGCCTAGATATGCATGACTAAAAGTACAACAATAAAACACACACAGTACTTACCTGCTAAGAAAGAAGCAGAGGAATGAGACTACTGCTAGGAGGAACACACTGAAACAAAAAGGATACATGGCAAAGGAACGGGTGTGGCAACAAAAAACAAACATTTAAAGGAATCCAGGATACTGGGAATTCCAGGAACGGAATAAAGGAATGAACCAAGAAAACCCAGCATAAAGAAAACCAGTCATGAAACAGAGAACAAGAAAAACTAAACAAGAATTTTATAAAGAGTACTGAATACCAGAAGCCATGGCCAGAAATAATCCGCAAACTGTAACAGGACGTGACACTAGGGGCCTAAAGGAATGTTATAGTTATATCCCAAATAACAAAGTAAGGTTGAGCCCCTGGGTTTCTATTCTTGTGCTACTAAAGTATGATCCATTGAGACCCTAGAGCCACAACATGACCTATCTGTGTTCAGAGAAGCAGTTATTGGGGGAGAGCGTCATCTCTGACATTTTTGGAATCAAGTTTAAGACATTCCCTAAGTCTCAAAAAGATCAGGGACCCTCGATCTTGTCATGGATTCAGCTTCCTGTCACTGCTTATCTTCTACAGGTCCTTGCGGTCAATTAAGATGTTTGATGGAACATAAGAAACCTTGTAGCAAATGTCTCCACTGGTTCCCTGTTTGGAGGGTGATTTTTAATTGATGTTTCTGCATGTATGCAGCCATGCATTGCATAAGACAGGACGGTGACTGCTTCCTTTTCCAAGTTATTGTAGAGTAAATGAATGACACTAGTCATAATGAAACAGAAACAGGGCTGTTGAAAATATATTAAAAGCTTCTTGAATAG